GGAAGTTGGTAAGCTTGGAAGTTGATAACTTTAGATTGCGTTGTTGAGTTTATTTTCGACCGATATTTTGTTTTACATAATTTTGTTGTGTATTATTCCATTCCTACTAGCTTTAAAAGTGTGCATATCACTATTATCGTATGTAAATTATTTACAAAACCATTAAGAAATTCCTAACCATATCATTTAGCTACAGTAGACAATATTTTACTTCAAATACTTGAGGGACATTAATGTACTTGGTACGGCAGTAAACCTCACAGTCTTAACCCGAATTCTCAGAAACACAATAGAAGAAATTGGTTCTAATTTAGCTCTTACGTGATACGGGTGTAAACTGAACGATGTTAACTGCGTAGAAGGGATTTTGTTGGGTACGTCGCATTTAATCTAGGCATTAATTCCCTAGTCGTTGAAGATTCGACGATTTGTCTAGGTTTTATGGGATTCCTGGGATACGGTTTTGAGTTTTATATTACAGATGATAAAATCTAAATTAATTTACTATTTGAAATAAATTAGTGCACATAAATAAAACATTATTTATAAAAACTAACTAGGTATTTGTTTGTTTATATTAATAGGGTTTTATATTACACGATAGTTAGGCTATTTATAAGGTGCCAATTTAATAAACCGCATCAACACATTATTTTGTATTGTTCATGTAAAATGTTAAATAACGGGCTATAAAACTAAACTAGCGCCCGTGTAATTTGAATATTTAGTGGGTAGGTATATTGGTTAAAAATTGATTTTTACCCTTGTTTTTATTACTTAGATAAGCTTAGCTCTGCGTTCCGCTCGCTCTTTTACTCCCTGTATAAACTATCGGTTCGTCCCATTTGTTATAGCTAAGAAGGCGGTAAGGATTACTCTTTATCTTTTGGGGTCAGGTCCCAAGACCCATTTCAGTGACAAACTATATTGGTGCGTTCAATTAAATTGTATTTCCTGGTACACATATACATAAACTGGCCAACTATGTACTAAAATAAAAAGCACACATTTGACAGGCGTCCATATCTCTATTACCAACCTTAAACTATTTTCTCATTTTCTTTGCTCCATCTCACCTACAATAGGATACGGCAGCACAAAACTAAACGCCCAAGATTTTCTCTGTGTCAAGAACTGCTATCACAGCAGGCAGCAAACTTTAAATTGAAAACATTAAAACTCTAAATCGGTCATGTTTCTAGGTGAGACTTTCAGGGACTCCTGCACTTGACCCCTTAATAGTGGTGTTGGAAGTAACACGCTTCGAAGAACGTTATTCAATAAAATACGTGATCGGCATCCGATCTAAACCCTATTCAGAGATTGCCGTAATGTATCCAGGAGAAGCGCGTAAATGTTTGGGATCTACCAAATGATAAATGAATCCTGTATTGAATCAATTCTCTTCTATTTTCATTTCAAAATCATGATCTTGCAATGATCATGATGAGACGCTTTATTTCCAATCATCTTCATTATCCACGCCCTCTTTATCCGATTGTGATATTGTTTATCTATTGATATTTAAATTTTAAGAAATTTGTAATATATGTTAAGTTTTATATTGTTTATTGGTTTGATACCGTTCGGTAGACAAATAAATGAATGTTTTTGCTCCAAGTTTCAGTTGCTCTGTGTGAAATCACCGAGTTACTTTAAAACTTTGGAAAAGAAAGGACAGCTCCTGAGATAGTTTGCTCTTTTACTACGACAAGTGACTAATAGCATTACCTTCATTCACTGACGTTTAAATTAGTTCGTACTTTCTTCCAATTTGAAGCTAAATAGCGCGCATTCCTTCTACCTAAATAGTAGGTAATATTAAATCCGTGAGCTCATAAAACATTCCTTTTCTGTTTGCAACTCTGAATTTAAAGAAAGTAATTTGGCTTAATGTTTGTAATACAATATTATATAACAAGTATTTGATATAAAACCATGACTGTCTGAAACATCACTTCGTTTAATTAAATCCCTCAAATAATTAGACTGCGTACAACCGTTTTATTAATTAGTGTTGCCGGACATCGTTGTCATTATGGTTAATCCGTGTACTTTGCGGCAATATATCGTTAACTAGCGTGCTTTCAAATTGATCGTTCATTTCATATACCTATAATTGAATCACAAAAATAGAAAATATGTATTATATGAGGTGAGCCACATTGGCAACATAATATTGTTCATATTGATTTAGTATCTCAAATTAACCATTGTTGACTTTTAAAAACAATCTTATCTATTTTTCTCCCCCGTTATCTTAAATTATTACAATTGAATTATAGATATTCGTTATATTTTTGGGTAAAATCCAAGTCGATCACATTATCATAAATCGGTAGGAACTGCACGGCAGCAAGTTTTGGCCGACGGCCAGACTGTGCAGGCTGACTCGACGAAATGATCGCCATCTATTGACATGACTTGACGCAGATAGTTCCCTTTTTAGTTCATTCAGAAATTAGGCCAGCTAAATAGGTCAGGTCGCTGGTGAATACAGTTTTACGCACTCTGGCTTAGCGGCCATTACAATGCTTCCTTGTCCGCAATCATTTTCGTTTTTACTATCCATGTCTTAACATTGTATCCTTTAGTAGTTAGATAGAAACAACTCCATTATCCTCTACCATACACGTGCCGAATTTTCCTATAGAGTTCCCACGGGTGCTCATTTGTTCGACTCGATAAAGTTTAAGTATGCCAACAATGTAGCATCAACAAAAACGGGTTTACTGATCAGCTTTCAATACAATCGTATTGGAGATTGGTCAGTGTAAGCAGATAGTGAGACTTCTAATTTTAACTTTTTTCTGAACAAACTTACTTAGTATGTTACGGAAAATCCCTTTGGTTTACGCACAAGGAATAATAATGGTAGCCTGACATCTGCTGCTTGGGCTTTCGTTTGAGCCGGCCGGCCGGCTGGGAAAACGTCGCCGGGACGTTTGCTCTATGTACGTCTAAAATCCAAATCTCGGATTATATATGAGTGGAACTTTCAACATTATTTGGCGTTGAAGTTGTCATTCTTTACTTGTTTAATTTTTTCACAATAATGTAAGATATAACACAGTTTCCACAAAACAGGTTTATCGGTATATCTGCCGGCGAGGAATTTTAATTTTATTTGTATCATATCTAAGTAATATTACGATTAAAAGCACTTTAAACAGCGCAGAATAAAAAAAATATTCATATTACAATGTGTCAGAGAAGCGTGAAAATGAGTGACACCGATTACAAGCCACTGTTTGTAGAAGCTTTGTACATACATGCGGCTTATTTCACGGGCCGTTAATTCCTACAAACAAGTAATTTAAAGTAGAAAAAATATTTACATCATTGCTTGTCTGCGGATTTCTTAAAAATAAATATACGGACACAGTGCGCAGTATGCTTATTGAAGTGTTATTAGATTTTTGACATTTCAAAGAATATGTGAAGATAATCTGACCAAATTAAGCTAGAAATATTATAAAAATCTTTATACGAGAAATTATTTATAATCTGAACCTTCCGAGGTTCGTTCCTATATATAACATAACTTTGATGAGAACGGCTCTTACGACTTTTATAGAATTTAGTATACAGGCCTTTTCTGGGTGGTAATTTGGTAAATCAATCTAGCTAGTATTCATTTTTAGGAAATGTAAAAAAAAATAGCGGGCAAAACGTGGTCATCCAAAAAAATATACTGAGCTGAACTCGGTCATCTAGGTACTATGTTTATTCTTGTATTGAATATATTTCTAGCCGTAATGGTTCTTTGAAAGAATGTTTCATTCTGAGAATTTTTAGGAAGGAGCATATTTTAAAATGAACAGTATTAAAATATTGAAACAGACGAGATTCTGTTGTCTGATGTTATTTTATCATTTTGTGCGGGTCGGGCTCAGGTCAAATGTGGGTATCGGCGGGCCGACGCGGATATTGCATGTTCGCACCCATTTCCGCCTCTGAGGGCACAAAACCACACAATTTTGTAACTTAACTATTTCGTTATAATGTTATATATTGAACGTTCCCACACATAAAGTTAGAATTAATATACTTAAAAAAAACTAATTAATTATAATTTACTGGTTCTTTTTTTGAAAATTAATTCATTGCTCAATGTCCACTCTTCCATAAAATAACGGGCAATATGCTTACTATTCATACAATTTATTAAGCTCAATGCATAGCACGTCACCGATTTTGATATGAAATTAATGATTGCTACAATAAATTGGATACCAATCGCTTTTAAATAAAGCTTTAGTAAAATATTATTCGTTTTTTAAAAAAGCTTTTCATTTGAAATGTTTGTTTTACCATTATTTCTAGCACAGCTTTTATTGATAATAGCTGATTAATATTTTGACATTTATTTGAGATTGTTTTGACTTCATTTCAGTGGATTCCGAGTGGGAAACTGATAATAATAAGACCTTATTTTCTAAAATAAGCTCTCGTTGATTCTTTCTGTGATAGCATAAAGTGTATTGAATTCAAATAGCTGCTGCCAGCCTATGCTTTATTTCAGACTATAAATCTACCTCTACATATTTCATATTTCATTCGGATCCATTAATTAGTTTTAAAGCAGAATACACAGGAACAGACATAGCCATCCGTTCATACTTTGGCACAAACTTTTGGGTTTATTACGTTAAGTAGGATGTTTTGGTATTATCGTGGTTGCGTCTTATAAGTAATGTAAACAAATATGATGAGTGTTCACATTATGGTTAAGCACGCTCTAAATATCGTTTATAACAATCAAATTGTGTTATGTCATTGTATTGTTTAACTTTAAAAATAAGTTGTGGTCCCTATAGAATCTTTCAAATAAAGCTCAATCACAATGCGGCAAATCCACAATTTATTGAAAGATCTTCAAGAAGAGTCTTTTAAGAGCACTTTCTTTGGCTTTATTTAAGTTATTCCCTTGGGCGTCATATATAATACGTTCCTACGTTAAACTTGGTTATGAAATTTGATATTTCTATATTTTGCCAATGGCCAATCTGTTTAAAAAGCTGCTTTCAACACAATTATTTATTTATATTGTTCACAGAGAGACACGAATATCTTCAGCGGCGGCACTTGCCGGAGGCACGGAGCGACCTGAGCGATCATTGACAGCTTCATTTGCTCTTTTGAATTTAGTATCAGGCCACGATGGGGAAAATACATGGAGACAAGTAGGCCACGTGCTTGGTCGGAGTGTAAGGCTCCACACCATCGTGTGGCCAGGAGGAAAGCTTGTTGCTCACGGACAGTCCGATGGTGCCCGCACTATATTCCGCATCGTTACAGCATTAGCTCCCCCTTTTGTTATGGAAGGTGAGCTTGATGAGGACGGCCAATGTCTCCGGGGCCTTCTATGTCACCGGCCACAAACGTCCGACCGAGATAACCTAACCCTTGCGTTCAATGAATTGGAAAGGGAAAGCGATCAAGATGATTTTTTCTTTCCTACGTCAAAACCCGTACTCACCAAAATGGAAACGCATTGTTGTTACGGACTTGCAATGGATCTTTTAGAGAACATAGCTCAAGAACTAGAATTCGACTTTCATTTATATATTGTAGAAGATGGATTATATGGATCCAGAAAACTTATCAAACCATTCCATCGAATATTTGAATATAAAACGGTTGCGAGCGAATACGCTCCAATAAATTATCAAAGCTACCGTTCACAATATCGTAACGGTTACAAATCACTAGAGGAGGACTCAGAAGAAACGCCATATCTGTTTGATATTGAGCCAGATGAAAGTGTTGAAAAATGGAATGGCATTATTGGAGATTTAGTGTCCGGAGCCGCGCATATGTCGTTTGCAGCTCTCAGTGTATCTGCAGCTAGAGCAGAAGTCATAGACTACAGCCAACCATACTTTTTTAGCGGAGTATCAATACTAGCTGCTCCAAACCAACGACCCGACATACCACTGCTTGCATTTCTCTTGCCATTTTCACCAGAGTTGTGGATTGCTATATTTACTTCTTTAAATGTAACAGCTATAGCCGTAGCCATATACGAATGGCTTTCCCCTTTTGGCTTAAATCCTTGGGGCCGACAAAGATCAAAGAACTTTAGTATTTCCAGTGCTCTGTGGGTTATGTGGGGATTGTTATGTGGACATTTAGTAGCATTCAAAGCCCCGAAGAGTTGGCCTAACAAGTTTCTGATTAACGTTTGGGGAGGCTTTTCTGTGATATTCGTTGCCAGTTACACGGCCAATATAGCCGCTCTGATTGCTGGACTGTTTTTTCACAATGCGGTAGATGATTACCAAGGTCGAAGTAATGTAAGTAAACTCTTATAACTTTAATAAAACGCGATTGTCTGGAAAATTTCTTATTATGTGTAATTGTGTTGTAGTGGCTGTCTTTGCGAGTGGGGACTGCTAGGTCGTCAGTGTCTGAGTACTACGTTCAACGAAATAATCCGCAGCTGGCGCAACAAATGCGTCGTTACGCCCTTCAAGACGTTGAAGAAGGCATTCAAAGACTCAGGTAAGGTATTATACGAACCTTTTCTATAGAAACAGGCGGGTATAATAAAGTTCGTGCGTCTGGCTCTTAAATTATAATTTAACTCAAGCCAAGTTATGTAAGTTCTGACGTAAGATACGCATATATAAAATTGCTTAGATAGTACTTCAAACTTATTATGTTCAAGTTTAAAATTGTACACGTTTAAGACAGTAAAGTAAATGGAAATTGATTTACTTTTATAATTTCTATTAAAAGAAATTAATTTTGTACAGCAATATTATTTTGATTCTATGAAATATATAGTATCTTGTATGTGATGTTGAGAAAACCTTTTTTCGTAATATACTTATTGCTGATCAGCTATTTTTCACCTCAGGATTTGTACTAAACGCTATATGCAAGCATTGTTAAAACTTAAAATTTTCAATTATTGAAACTCTTGTCGAGTCTGTTACCAAATTTCAATTTATTTGGAATGCACATGAAACGAACCTCATCAGTTAAGTATTAATTATATTGAAACTTCAGAACTAAAAGGGACAATAAATCGATTGTTAATCAAATCGAAACATTAATTTTAATAAAAGGAATGTGAATATTGATAGCTGCCTCGGTAATTTGATTCAAAAAACGCTTTTGAATTTTATGAAGTCGTAAAATTTTCAAGTCCGTCGGACTCTGATCACCACTTAATACCTTTTAGTACATTTGTTTTATATTCAGATTTAGTGCCCGCTTTTGTATTTCATTCATCAATTAAGCTATAAACTGTCACCAGTCAAAACAAAGGAACGCGTTTTAAGGCCGGAAAAGCCCCGAACTTTGTCAACTAAAAGCAGAGAGTGGTTGCAATGTGTCACGTGAGGTACTTTGTTGTTAGATATTTTGTACCTTATTCAGACGTCGGATTAAGTTAACATTGCTCTAGAAACTGTATGTTTTATTATACGTTTTTATTGCTGTGACAGAACATTATATTTATGATACCACTTTGAGATTTAGAGATCCTTTCGCTTACTGGTTTACGCTTGGCGTTCATGAGTTGAGTATAGTTATTGTTTACTTTGTAAACATTTCTCTTGACCCTCATGATTGTATTAATTCAGTTTGAGGAATCCGTGATAGTTTTTGCGATAGAAAATGATTGCACTCTATTTTGTTGCAGGAATGGTACTTTGGACTTATTAATAGCTGACTCTCCTGTCTTGGACTACTATCGCGCCACTGACCACGGTTGTAAGCTACAACGTATTGGTGATCACCCTCTTGCTGAAGATGCTTATGCCATTGGAATGGCTAAAGGTTTCCCTTTAAAGGTATGTGAAATACAACGACTGCTTTAATTCATGTAATATCTCAAGACTAAGTGCTATGCCTACGTCGGTGAATTATTACACAAAGATAATGTGTCCTAAATTAGGCGGAGTGTGACTAAGCAACGTCCCTGAAGAAATGTAGCGTACATTTACATGAATTGGAGGACTTATAAGAGTCCTGAGTGGTGGGGGACGACTCCGGATCTTTGCACGAAAGATTGATGGATGACGCACGCGAACTCCTAATGGTGTGATCGATAGTCGGGTGTCATGTAGCTCCAGCTCAACCGATTATACGTCATTTTATCTTGACGTTGTTCAATATACCCCAAAGGTTTATCCGAATCAGTGACATAAATCAATGGATCCGAGAGTTTTTGTTTTGTACATGACACGCTTTGAGATTTTTCCTTTATTTTTGATGCTTTGTTTTAAAGAGAAAAAAATCGACACAGATTTGCCATTGTTTTTATTTTGTAATCGCTCGGGCGTGTTGCGTTTGTTTTGACGTTTACAAATATGTCCACTTGTATAAAATTTGCATTTCGCTACGTTTCAACGTTTTCGGTTTTAGATATCACTTTGTTTTGTTTGTTTCAGGATAGTATATCAGCTGTGATAGCTAAATATTCATCGAATGGTTACATGGACATTTTAACTGAGAAGTGGTACGGTGGCCTGCCTTGTTTCAAACTCAGCCCGGACTATGGAATCCAACCAAAGCCACTCGGTAAGCTTTTCGTTAAAGAGATAGTTTCTCTTGTTTCCAAGAACTTTTCAGCTACACAGACAGAAACCATTATAATATAATAGATACAAAAGTACCCAATTAGTGAAATAAGTTTGTTTTGTTCGAGTTCATGAATATTTACGTGTCATTTTGTAAAATAAATTATCCATGGAAGATGTTACAAGAATCTTGTTTGTAACGTTATTTGGGCAGAACGGTGTGTATTACTATTTTAATGTGTATTCGTAACATTTACGTAGTCAGTTCGCTCGTCTCTGGCGGAAATTTCATTAGAATTTATCGCCACCCCCACGTTAATCCAACCCCTCAACGTCGCTTACTGAAGGGAGAGGTATTACCACCAGGCGACCTAAAAGATTAAACATGAGATTTATCGTTTGAAAAAATTGAGCTGACACCGACAATATGTTTATCTCTTATTTGGGATAAACTCTCGAAGGTGCGATTAAAAGTAAAGTGACACGGGGGAATTGAGTTTCGTTATGAAAATTTTGCAAGGCCGAATATACTCACAGAGCCTTGTGTTTTTCCACTTTTATATTTTTAGATGCAAACAGTAAATTTTAAATTGTGTTTGTATAAATAAATATTATCAGCTTTACTACGGTCCATTGTGCGTGCCAAGTGATCTGGTATCTTCAAGTACATCTCAGAAAGTTATAAAACTTCGCGGTTCGCTATGGTTGTTCTGAATGTAGCTATTGCTTCAAGTTTTCGTATCTATATTTGATATTGCGAAAGTTTCCGCACAAAATTTAGTATGTCTACGAAATTTTCTAACAATTTCAAATAATATTGTTTCTATATGACTCATAAAATGTTTTAATGCATCAAGGAAAAGTTTGTTTGAAATTTACGCCTGTATACAATAAACTTGATGATTATATTTAATTTGCATACTACTTAAGTCCACACTTGGGCAATAATTAAGACGCCTTTGACGCAGTTGTTTCTTTGTTGTCGTATATTCCTTCAAGTTACTTTGCACGTAGGTACATTTATAATGTATAGGCTTTATGTTTACTCAGCTATAAGGAAAATATAATAACATTTGAAGGGTACTTATTTACGAGAGAGCATAAAGGGAATATTTTTTGGGAAAATTTTGATATGATAAAACCGTTTGTTTGATGGTTTCGTTGTTGTAAAGGTAACAAGAGTTGACAGTCAAGTAGATAATTCAGGGTTCAAAGTCGTATTGTGTTATTTATGAGTATTGTGGAAATAAATTATCACCCTTATATAATATTCTTTATAATAATATTCTTTTCTTTATTGGAACAAAAACACATATACAAATTATTTGCGTACGTAAATAACTACATTAGTCAGATAACTGTGTTGCAGCTTAAACTTTAACTTTACGTGGAAACCCTAATGTAAACTCATAAAATACGTAATATAAATAGGTTGATTGATTAGATTCTATAAACTCGCCTATATATTCAGAATTTAACCAATTTAAAATAAGACATCTACAAATTTAAAGGCCATTTATCCTATGCCTTTCTCATTTGGATCGATACTCGATTTTCATTATAAAGGATCGATCAATTTAACAAGCCTCTTTGGACGTGGTACAAATTGCCAATCTGATAGATTGTGTAATGGAACCCATACATCGTGGTAAGAACGAAATCAACTTGATATCGAAAGAATTCATCTATAACAGATCAATTTCTATGATACAGATCTATGAAGAAAATGGTCGCTATCAATTTCGCGAATGAATTTTTCATAAAGTATTTTCTCCGTTAACAGAAAGATAATCCGATAATCAGATAATTCTTTTGCCAATTTGTTTTTGTAATTTTCTACTGATCGTGATCGTAATCGATCGGCTAATTAAATTGAATTTAGCTATTATTCTTCACTGTTTCGTTAGTTTCCATAGCAACGGCCGACAAGCAGAGTTTTGATATCGTAATTTTTAAGAATTGTACCCAGTACCTAGATATATAACAATGGGCCTGTTCCCTATTATACAAGAATTTTTTTTTTTTTTTATAATTGGAGAAAACTGCGACAACCTCATGAAACCGCTGTAACTCACGTAAACCAGGGTCTAGAGTAGATAGCACTGAAATCTTGGATCCTGCAACGAAATAAATCTGAGTATTATATTTGAGTAGAAGAAAAACTATCCCTCGGTAACTTTAATTCAATTTACAGAATGACTTAAAAGCACTTTGGGGCTAAAAATATGTCTTGTCGTTATTATTTGGTATACAGGTAAAAAAAGTCAAGATTAACTCAGTATTGATTATTAGGTACTCTATGAAATTATTTGGTTTTTCTTAAGGAAATGTCTTTTTTAATCATTAATGGGACATTAAAAGTACCCAATCAATGGTTTACCGTCTCTGTACAGAGTCAATTTTTATATTTATACATGTTTAAGTACCTGAATCGCTGTGCAGACTGTAGCTACGATATTTTGCATAGCAATGGTTATTGTTATAAGCAGGGTTCTTTTATTTTAGATTTGCTCCTTAAGGGTGAACGTACCTGCTTAACTGGAGCGAAGACTTTAACTACTTAAGGTGGAAATAAGAGTCTTGAGCATTTTCTTTGATTTTCATACTTTCAAGGAAAAGTTTCGTTGCATCTCGTTTCTAGCATAAACACAACCATCATCCTCAAAATCTGCTCTCTATGTTCTAATATGTAGTTAACAACAAAACTGGATCAAACCGGTTATATCTTAACTCTGCATCAGTCTATGAAAGAAATATTGCTTATGGAAAAGGAAAATTAATTGGCTATTGATTTTGTTTACCTACTCATTTTTAAGCTTCAAACGGTTGAAAAAAGATATAGACCTCGTTCATTAAGTCATAATTTGCGTAAAGAAAGTGTTAATATTGATGTTTTTTTTATAAATCCTCGATTCCTTCACTAAAGTATATAATAATTTAAAGAAAATTATACCTGAAAGATAAACAGATTTGTCTCTATTTCTGACTAGCGACCCGCCCCAGCTTATCACGGACGTATTGTTAATAATAAATTTCTCCACGATTTAATTTATGCTATATTACAAAATAATATAAACTATTAAAAAAATGGCATCAAAATCCTTTGCGTAATTTTAAAGATTTAAGCATACATAGGAATATACTTACAGAAAATGCGACCTAATTTTAGACTATGTAATGACAAACCCATTAGTATAGAATTGTTATTATACATTTACCTACTTGGCCCCCCAAGTAGTCCATAAGCCCTACGATGCTGAGTACTACCTTATATAATGTAAACTCAAGCAGCTACAATCAAGTTCAGAGCTCATTCATAAATCTTGTGAAATATGTAGAACAGCACAAGGCATAGCTTAAAGGAGAAGTCAAAGCATTTTAAAATCGCCTTAATGTATCATCCGTTTTACGAGGCAAGCGTAAAAGGCACCGCGGCTTCGGCCTAGAGCACAAGTAGGAACACAGGGGTTATTAGTCAGTAAGAGTTAGAAGTCATTTGATGATATTCTTCTCACAAAAAAGTTAACATTACTTATAACCTTTCTCTAAGTATTTTATTTACTTTGTAGCATACATTTAGATAACTCAAAATAAAATTATTTTCCTAAAGATCACTTTGAAAACGTTCGACCGCGGCGAAATTAATATGAAATAGAAAGTAACGTGGGGTAATTAAGTAGCCCGGAGCATTCCACTGATAAAATGTCTGTTTTAAATTATAATTTCGGGCCAAAACTTTTGCTGTTTTCATGCTTAATTAAATAAAAAACAGTTTTTAGGATTTCGAAGAACAAATAATCCTGTTAAATTGTTTTTTTTTGTGTCAAACAACGTATGCAATTTGGAAATGAGACAATGATATAGTAAATATCATTGAACCTATATCTACTTGGCCTTTGTTTCAAGAATATACTTAAGTTTCACTAATGATGAGTACCTGATATATCCTGTTGGGCATAAATATTCTATTTTGGAAGGTATTTCTCGGCATATTTATCTGCTCGTCTAAACGATTATGCTTAGTTTGGTATTTTTAACAGTTTCCTAAAATAAATGACATTCAAACCTAAAACGCCTGTATACTACATTTTATGAAAATTGTTGGTGCCGTTGCCAAGATTCAGATTATATAAATATTTATGTACCCACAAGGATTGCTCGTTTAAAGAAATAAGATAAAAATGGCACAAATTGTATTTATTTATTAAAAAGAATTTTAAATAAAAGAGAATAGTATTTGCCTATAGGAAGGGCAAGATACTAAACCTTTTATAAGTAGTGTGAGTGTTGAAAATTTAAACATTTTATCCTTGTTCATAGGTGTGGCGGCTGTTGCGGGGGTATTCATTCTACTGGGAGTTGGCATGATCGTGGGCTGTCTTATATTGATCCTCGAACATTTGTTTTATAAATATACCTTACCCGTACTCCGACACCAACCTAAAGGAACGATTTGGAGAAGCAGAAATATTATGTTTTTTAGTCAGGTGAGTTTTTGTTTTAGTTTTGTTTTATATAAATGTATGTACCCTTTATGTAAATAGTAGTGTCTGATTCAATACCGCTATTTTCGCTAGTGACACCACGGTCTTGCAGAATAATGGCGTGACAAAATATTTGTGTTGTGATTTGCCATGTAGGTACGTGAGGTGAGCTGCTTATCTTTCCCCCCATCTCCAATCCTTTAATCTCTAGCAAATCTCAAAAGATCGGCAACACATTTGTTACTCTTTTGGTATTGCGCGTGCTTACGTGTAGAAATTGCTTGCCATCAGGTAATCCGACTGCTTGTTTGCTGACCTTGACGATAAAAAAACTATTCGATGATATTGTATTCGATCGTCGTAATGTTAACCTGTATGCGTTTATGCATCCTTTTTTCTTCTATTGTAAAACAGAATAATGCTTAATCAAGGTAAACAAACCTATAATAAGTGTTCTGATGATTAAAATACCTATAAGATAGTATTATTTTTTCATTCCTTTTGATTTCAATAGCTCGATGCTCCTTTTCTACGCATTCGTTTTTCATTTTTGTCAACTTCAAAACTAAAAACTTCAACAGAAAGTACTCGGAACATTGGCAAATGAAAAGCACAAAAAATTTGGTCTTATTTTGTTTATTCTTTTACAGCAACTATCCTTTGCCAGCGTTTAAATTAACTTAATAAATATAATAGACTTATTTTTTGTAAGTTAATAAAAACGTAATTGCTACGAGAAACAACGTTGCTTCGGGGTAACATGGTCATAGTTATTAAATGAGCCCGCTCGATTGACATTACGACTAAAAATAAAATAATGCTTTTTACTAAGTTATTTTTATTATAACAATAAACAAGCATTGGCTTAGAAAATAGCTTACAAAATTAATTTACATAATAACGCCTCTCACTGAGCTGCATTAAAAAAACTTTGCTGAGGTTGCAAAAAAGAAATTACAGAAAATTCTTAAGGAAACAAGGTTTCATCTTTCCGAGAACTGTTATTATTGTTTCCAGTACTCTGAAACAAATAAAATTAAATAGCATTTCTGCAAAACTCAAGTAAAAACTACCTCATTACGTGTTTGCGCCATTTTAGATAGTGGCTATGTTATTTCGCTAAAATTATTTTCATGGTACTACAATAATCCTCTTTACTAAACTCTAGGTAGAAAAGGAGTGTATACTGTGCAGGTCAAAGGCTATTTTACCATCGTAAGTTTGCCGGCGGCAGAGTCCGTACCCTGAGTGTACTTTGTTTGCCCTTCTCAACCGTTAAGGCAGATTGGCCTCTTCTAGGATTACGCCCACTGATCAGAACGGCTTTTAACACTGAACGAGCACTTTTATTTCTCGCATTGTCTTTTAGAGCCGTGTCTTCTTGTACCTATTGTTGTCAACGTTACAATGTCTTTTTTCAAACTCATGCGGCGTTGCGGATCTTTTGTTTCAGAAACTGTACAGATTCATAAACTGCGTGGAGCTGGTATCACCTCATCATGCCGCCCGAGAACTCGTAAATACCATCCGTCAAGGACATTTCACTTCACTTTTTCAGAAAAGTGTCAAAAGGGTAATTGCTTTTTAATTTTTGATATGTTAAATTATTCGTAAATTGGTCAGATTACGATAGGAATGTACGTTTGTTTCAGAAGGAACACGAACAGCGTAGACGTCGAAAAAGTAAAGCCCAACTCTATGAAATGATTCAGGCGATACGAAGGTAAGATGAAAAAATTGTAGAAATTAGACCAAAAGTTGCAAATATCCGAGTAATATCTCCTAACATCATTTACGTTTTCTCCAGGGTACAGCAACGTGACCACTCGTTAGGTTCCATCAAAGAACAAGAGCCAGTTGAAACTGAAACTGAAGCATCAGAAGAAGTAACAGAATGTAAATTTCTGTCTCCGTCCCCCGATGTATCTAATCGTTCGCCTCGACCAAGCCGGTCACCTCGGCAGCTGCGATCACCGAGAGGTCGAAGAAAAAGATGTAGTTTAGCAGGACTCAACGTACGCCGGTTTAGCACTGACTCAGTCTTGAATACTGAATCAGTATCTAATATATACGAACGCACAAGTCATAATATAGGAAGAAGGCTTAGTCGAGATGTCTTGACCAGCTCTCCACCTGATATAAACACTCGTCTTCGAACACCTTCACCGATGGTTCGGCGCGCAGAAGGCTCCTCCACTCGATCTTATCAAGATGTTTCGAGCACAGGTTGTCACACTCCACAAGCTAGCGTAGAGATTCTAGTGTCTCAAGATGATTCGGATTTACCACCCGCTCCCCCGTACCCTAGAGTACCTCCGATGGGAGCGAGGTCAGAATTATCATTACTATCAGAAGAGGAACTGATAAGATTGTGGCGGAGCTCAGAGCGAGAAGTGAGAGAAGCATTGTTGGGAGCTCTTCAGGAAAGAAGGGCAAATTTAGATCCTAAACAAGATCCAGGATGAACGAAAGGCTGTAATCCGCATTTGGAAAGGAATAGGTTTGTGCAAAATCACTTTTCATCTCTCATTGCCGCTCGGCGAGGGAGCGATAAGGAGTATTATCGACCAGAATACGCCCGTAGTGGTTGAGTTAGTGCCTTTTTTACATTGTTTGATGCGGACACGTCTCACAGGCGTTAGTTAGTGAATCGGTGTTCATTTCAGTGTCTTGATATTATTATTACATTTGGAAGGCTGCCTTACTTTACATTTAATTGCTTCTTCAATATTTCATCTGCGTCAAACAATTTAAATAATGGTACTCGGTAAGTAAGTTAAGTACGGAGATGTTGACGTCCAGTAAATTGATATAAGCTTTTATTAGACGTATTATTATGTACGAAATACATTTGTAGAATTGGTATAATGATCGTAAATGTTATATTATGATATGTGGATGAATATTAAATAGCTACGACCAGATATTTTAAAGTGCTTTAACCTATAGTCTAGATCGTGATAGATATTTCATTCGAGACATTTATAATTGTTCTTAGTAAAACTTAGAGTTACAAAATTAAAGCATTCCAAATATCAAATTGTTTCGACGTAAAGGAATTTTATTCGTTCATTGGAAATGTAATCTCTGGGCGTTGAATGGAATAACATTGCTAGGATATAAAAGCAATTAGAAAATGAATATCGTTCCTAATTTACTGTAGCATATTTATTAAACAAGACAATGATGGAATTCAAAGTAAATGAGACTTTATTATTCTATTCTTTATTTTACATGTATATGTAGAAGAAAGAGAAAAGGTTTTATGAAGCAAATAGAGCCGCGCCGGAGTAATAAAAGCAAATTAATTCTGTAAGGGGACGACAAGGAACCGGTAATGTTTCATAGACGTATAGAAGTATGCTCTGAAAGTAACTACCTATAACATAATACAAATAGAATTGCGACTTCTGATCGGAATTTCTACGTTCATACGGCCTGACGGGTTTATAAAAATAAGCTTATCCTCCTTGTAAATATCTTTGAATTTTATATATTTTTCTGGTTATGATTTTCCGCTGTAGGTAATTCGATTGGGGTGGATTATTTTATTCTATTATGTGGCCACATAACGTTATGCTTTAAAGGAGTTTGATAAATAATTATGGAGCATAAGCATCGTCCCTTAAGAACCGTTACTTTACGAACAAGTTTTGTAAAGCGATTGAGGAAAATAGGCGAAGCGAACGATGTGGGTAACCATAATCGTGGCCAAGTGGGGCTTTGCGGTTTCCTTGTACCCTGTTTAAATACTGTCTAATTTGTTTAAAGCATCCCCTTTACGTAATCAATGTTAACGATATCTTACTCTCTAAATTAATTAGTAATGAAACTATATTTTATAGTTAGGATATTAATGAAATGAATGAAACTGCCAAACATCGGATTAGGTGTTAATGTTAGAGTTCACTTCTTCCTCCTAGATTTGCACCCTAGTAGCCTTTAGTTTAGATTTATCTCTCTATTATATCCACACATATGTCGTATGTGTATTATATTTATCTTATCCCTTTAACTTCTATCTTTCATTAATATTCCCTAATTGGTAAGTCTAACAAATTATACTGAAGAAATTTAAGCAATATTTTCTGAATAGATTTTATACTTACCCTAGACTAAATTTATGTTTACGATTCGTTTTACTATTTTTTTTTAAATTTGATCTTAATTGCCTATATGTATTAATGTAATAGCTGGATAAAGAAATAATAGGTCATCCGCACTATATCCAATTTCATCGATTTTGGCACTGTAGTATTTTTTTTTGGCTACGTTACATTGTTTTCTTAGCTATATTACACAAATTTTGGAACTATTTATTTAAAATGACAACATTATTTATTAAAGATAAGTCATTACTTCATATATACAGCTGTTTATTTCACTCCATTGCAACAAAACTACAACAACATTGAACAAATTACAACAATTCATTACACATTTTTAATAAGTCATTCTAGTTATCATAAAATGATCACAGCAATTTATTTAATTTTTGCATTTTCAACTAATTACTTGCACACACTTGTTTTTTATGTTGTTTATACACTTTTCTCTCCCCCTTTATGTAGCGTTCGGCAAAACAACGAAACTTACTTTGCAGAGCCTCTACCACCTATCCCAATTTCGGACCAACATAAAATTCTTTGAAATAAATTAATGGATTATAAATCTATTGGATGTGAGTCATCTAGTGATATATAAAGTCTTATGCATTTCTCTTTCTAAATGGTAGGTAATTCGTAATGTAAAACTAACAATATAACATTGATTTTAAGTAGTCTATATAACTATTGATATTTTGTAAAAAATCGAAAGGGCATGCTCTATCAAATTATTTAATTAGGTACAAGAAAAATTGTAAACGCAAATTTAAATTTAGCTGATTCTAGAACTACTTATAATTATGGAATACATAATTTTTGTTTTCAATAATGTCCCTTATTTGAATAATATGCGGTTTTATGGCTTAAATTAAATTTAATTGCGGAAAAAAAGATAACAGACCTCAGAATATGTTTAACAGTTTTATGGAAATTATTAGGAACGTATTAGATATCAAATCCATTATTTATTTGTCGTGTTTGTTACAACGTTAGGTACGGTCCTATAATGTAGGATCGCTAGATATAGCTAGATAGATACAAATTGAATACATCTTGTTTTGAATATGCTTATTATAAAGAAGGTTTTATGCAATGTTATGTAAAGGTTTGTATGTAAGGTGGTGACTGACTTGGGCTACAAACATTCAATATCTATAAAGAAGAATACACAGATTTTGGTTAATTTGCAAGTTCGTCAGATCTATATTTGTTTTTACTAAATGCTTGACTGTGTATTGAAGGTACATTTCTTGGTTAACTTCACTACATGACGTTCACGTCACACGTCAAACGTCATGTAACATCAACCCTCTGACGTCAAACACGTTGACGTAGACGTGTGCTTGTTGAAAGTTTCACTAGCACTGCACTTGTTACATGAGTTTGAACTCTAATGACAACAAAAATGAAATATTTAGTAGATAATGTGTTTTTTTTCGTAAAGTATCGCGTGTTTCTATAGATTTCTGGAATTACTTTGACAGTAGTCTTTATTAAAGTATAAGCAATAATGCTCAGCGTATCTCGGGATAAGCTTGATTTTCTTGGAAGCCGCTACCAATTTAATCAAAACAAAGCCAAAGAATGGGAAAAAGTAACGGTTCCATTTTCCTCGTTCGTATAGCGGGAGACAAAATGAATGATAATATTTATCATAAATATCACCACTATTATTGTCTGAAATTACTACAATACGAATCTGAGAAAAAACCCAACAGAAATGTATTGTTTTACTCTAGCTCCGGGGAATTCAGTTATTCCATATCAAATCGAGTTGCGACGTGAAATAATATCACAATCCGAGTATAAAGAACTGTGGGGAGGTATCCGGGTGATTTTCAATTTAAATCCAGTTATTTCCAGTTACGGCTAGAAAGCTAGGGTTGAACAAATTAAATAACTAAGCCACTCACCACCTTTAGATTTTATCTGTTCTAATTATAAAAATGAAACGCCAATGTAATAAGAAAAAATAAATTGAATAGTTATTCAATATTTTATCTGTAAATTATTGTAAATATATGAATGACTTAATAGGTATTAAAAATATAATATTTATGTGTACTTTGGGCATATATTCGTTAATAGGACAGTGATATAAAGTTTGAAAATAATGGAAATCTGTATGAAGAAATTTTAAAACTGTATGAAATTATTGAACAATTTTTGCTCATGTGTAATCTATTACTGTGTGATTATATTCAACTGTTAGGAATTGATAAATAAATTGTAGTAAGAACATTATTTGTGTAGATGTGAATAATTATAATAATATTATGTTCTTTATGAGCGGGTTTTTAAATCTTTGAAGTATGTTGGTAGGGTATAAGAGAATGATTACTGTCCTATTAATACATAAAAAGATGATTATATACTTAGTTGAGAAAAATAAAATATTTGTGCCAACATTGTTTGTTTTATTTAAGGTCAAGTCGAGGCAAATTTGGTATCAATATCTCCAATATTTTAGTGACTTCAGTACCCAATGAATAGTTATCGACTTCTATTTTGCTACAACTACGAAAAAGGTAACTTAAAAAAAGATACATATATATGTACATGCTAGGCATATAATTTTTAACACGTAGTATTTTTTAATAACTGCAAATCAAAGTCTTAAGGTTAGACTATTAAACCAAGTCAATGTCCGGGTTGCGGATGTAAGCGCAATAATGAACCATGAGCAGTAGAAGGAACTGGATTTTTTTTCTCGTCAGTAAGAGTCTGACACTCCATCTCGCCCCACATAGGGTAAGAAAAGTATTTTGATGTATTTCCCACTCAAAAAACAACTTATTGTTCTAAGATGGTAAATGTGAGTGCCCTGTAACATATTACAATTGGTTAGACTAGCAGAATGTCGGTTATGTCAGCTTCGAGTTGTCATGCTCACTCAAAGGTCACATTGGCGGGCGGCGGCACAAGAATTTTTAGTATTTTGCAATTATTGTTAGTGTAAGGACCGTGTGAGACTTTGCGCTTTTCGACTACCAGCGTTCTTACAGTTTGAGTACTTGTGTGACCTACTCAAATGTTCCTACAAGTTAACTGCGTTCTGACAGTTTGAGTACTTGCGCGACCCACCCAAGTGTTCTTTTGATCGGTATTGTTCGTCGGACAACTCAGCAGTACTGGTTGCAAACTGAAACTTGCGTGCTGTCTTTAGAACGGGTCTACTTAACTGGTGTAGTTCTTTCCTCAAAAGACCATTACAGAATGAACACGAACGGTTCTCTCACGTAATATTATTTTTACATTGTCTGGACTTGAAAAGAGACTGACCTCTAAGTATGCTTCAAGGTTTCTTCTCAGAATAGTCAGATAGGAAATGCCGGCTTTATCTAGTTTTTTACATATGATTTGACTTTAAAAATGCCGTTTTATGGCCTATATAAAAAAAAAAAAACATTGTTTTACTTGATCGCTCAATTCCCAATAATATGGTTGAGTTGGGCGATGCTGGTGTACGTGTCAAGTTCGTGAATGGGCACCGTCAATTTGGACTGGTCAGCTCCGGACTGTCTATTGTCCTTAAGTTATGTTCTTTTAATGTTGTTCTGAATTAATATTAATGTTATACTGTTCTCACATAATAGAACCAACCAATATGACTGCACGGTTGGCGCGGTAACTGGGCAACTAGCTACCGAGCAACTTGTCGCGGGTTTGATTCCCGCACGGAACAACTCTTTGTGTGATCCACAGATTGTTGTTCCAGGTCCGGGTCTAAATGTACCAAAGAATATGTATGTGAAACTGATTTAAAGTAACCATGAAGTTTCTTGCTCTTTCTTCTCGTTCAGAATCTACATTTTGGAACGAGCAAAGAGGACGACCGTCAGAATGACACTTTATATCCTTAAAATTTTGTTTGACGTTCAAAAGTGCCTAATTGACGTTCAAAATTAAGGTTCTAATTAAAATAAATGATTTTGACTTTTGACAACCGTCTTAATCAAAGCTAAACAAAGAACATAGTTTGTGTTTAATGAATCTACTATGAAGTTTATCCGATCCAAAAAAAGGAACGTTGCCACTAAAAGGGCAAAAGCGGCTAACCCTTGATCCAGCGCTTAAGTCTTGCTTCAGGATAATGGCTATCAAATGAGCTTTAGTGTTTTATCAGCCATCAACTCGATTTAAAGATTACTTCGAAATGTGTTTGAAACTTGAATAGGAAATTTTTCCACATTATTCAAGCAATAAAAGGTTCCCTGATTATTTTTGTTTTTCTCTTGTGCCCTTGCATCAACTTTTACAAGTGCCGTTACTGAAAAAGCAGTTGTATTATTGATCTTTAAGAAATAAGATTCTTATTAAAAGAGTACCTAGATGAGGAAAGACAGTATCATCAAGCATTTCATGGAGGTTTCGCTTTTACATAAATGATCCAAAAAAGGCTACATTATTATTGATCACGGAATTTATATTAAAATACACACGGTGGAAGAAATATAAATTAATATTTTTCTTTCATCAACAGCCTGTAAATATCCCATTGCTGAGTCATCACCACGCTTGCTTAAGGCGGGTTCACGATTTCAAACCTATATCGTAATGTTGTTAGTAAGTTTGTTAGTTGTGTACAATTAATCTTAGAAAGTACATATAATTGGAAAAGTTACAATGGTGACTTTTCCCATTTTTCCTACGTCACCGCTAGGCGGGCTATATTATGTATAACCTGTGTGCCACCAAATTTTACATTACAAGTCCTCTATCTATTTCAAAGTCACAATCAAGAACCAGTTTTAAAATACAATAAACGTCACCAAAACATAATTATCTAAAAAAAATAAAGCGTAATATAAAAAAAAGGAAACAAATCCATGATTCATGCATAAATAAATACAAATATATCTAAAACCATTGTGATATAAACCTAACATACGAAAATTAATTCATTACGAATAAAATATGTATAAAGCGTAAGCGGTGTTGTAAGCACACTGTTATACATTTAAGATACATTTTAGTTTAGTCTGTTGTAAGACTTGGTCGTCTTTGAGGATAAATGGAAGAATAAATATTTTAAATTATTACAATGAAACTACTTTTGTTATTAATAGTAGCGCTATGCTCTTTACAATCTGTGATATCGGTGTACTGCTATTGGAATACAGGATGTCCTTATAAATATTTTTCAAACAAAACACCATATAATTCTGTTCGAGGTGACATAAGGGATTCTGTTATCAAATTAACCGGTGAGTAATTACAAATATTTGTTCCTTTCATCATTAAATCCCAATAAAATCTTCTAAACTTCATAAAATAATCATTCTTAATTATTGTGTGTCTTTGTTTCATATAAATCACTTGTAATCACCCAGTTTGTCAATTTATTTACTATTCGCATAATTATAATTAGGTCATTAATTAGTATTACGGCCTTGATCTTTAAATGCCTATTTATGTACGCTAATGTTAATGCAAACAAGTTGTAGAACTTGTAGTGATAACAATTAATCTTCTCAAAGGACCTTATAATTACATTCAATATTCTCTATATCTATACTAATATTATAAAGAGGTAAAATTTGTAAGTTTGTATGTGGGGGATAATCGTGGAACCGCTGGTCAGATTGCCAAAATTCTTTCACTGACAGATAGCTACAATGTTCTTGAGTGCTATAGGCTATAAAACATCACGCTACGATTAAATGGAGCCGAGCAGAGGGTGAAACCGCGCGAGAGTAGCTAGTCTTATTTAATATCTCAATAGCTAAATAAAAAAAAAATATATACTGTTATTAGTTTTTTCAAATTACATATTTTTAAGGGAGCATTTAAGTTTCATATGCGAGTTATTTCCCACGAATTCCTACCTCTTAAAATCTCGCATTTTTTCGTACCTTTAAAAGCAATTTGACTACTGACTTGTTTTGATAATGACGTATCTGCCTGACACGTTATCGCCAACGCCGACATTCTTATATTATTTTTAAAACACCAATAAAATACGAGTAGTTATATTATTGTCAATTTTATTATTTAAAAAAGTGTGTTTAAATGAGTGATCATAGGGACACTAATGATCACTCATTTAAACACACTTTTATGTATAAATAAATGTTCAATTTTTGAATCAAGTTGTAGAGATTTAACTACATTAAAAAAACAATCGAACTGAATTTATTGTGTACAAAATAAGATGAAGTTGGTACAAAAGGTGGATTTAATGCCACATAGCAATCTTTACTAGTCAACCATTGGGTCAAAAATAAAAATCTGCGATAAATACATACGAAAAAATGTTACCTCCGACTAATTAAAAAACGGTTTCGTTCGTACCTAACGTTCAAGTTTAACAAGATCGTTCTTAATTGTAACAGGACTAATAACAATAGAATATGGTAAAGATTAGTACAAATGCTGAAATATTAACACCAAAGGCCACTGGTCCCCACAACCTATACCGTCGAATAAGACGAAAAACTTTTTTCTGACATTTTACATCATTCATCATCAGTTTGCCAACTATTTGAGCATGATCGATCAAACTGTGGGGCAACAAAGAAAATCAATCATTCCATTCATCATTTAGCCAGTACGTAACTCTATAGTAGGTGTGTTATTTTGGACAATAATTACAATCGGATTCGTCAAATGGTCTTAATTACAAAGCCCAAGTGCTCCAATTCGGGGCCAGGTAGAACTATATTGGAACTTAATTTTCAAAATTCAAAATATGTCACTATTTTTAAAAAAAAGCGTTTTTTAACATCTTCTGAAAAAGGTTTCATACTACTATATATTATATTATATTTTTTAGTTCATGAAAATAAGGTACATTATTACTGTAGGTACATACGTTTTGGAATGTTTTCCTGCAGTCCTGCGACAGGAAAGGTGAAGAAAACACATACATTACGGCCACATGTCACGGCTTAAATGGAAAAATCTTTGCTATCGACAAAAGTACCTATTAAGACTTCAATTTGGAAATTCAAAGTACTAGCTTAGGGTGTAGATTTATATCCTATTGTTAGGCTGTAATAGGCTCGCTCTCTTTCCACTCAGTTTATTGAGGATAAAGAAAGTCTTTATGTGGAAATGTCTATCGATAAAATGTTATAGATATTAATCTAACGTAACCTTGGTGAGCTACGGTATCGAAAAAGTTTGTTGCAAAATAAAATTCATTCTGCAAACCCAAATACAAAGATATGCAAACAGTTTAAAAATATATAGTTGTGTAAATAATGATAATTTAGTTTTGATTATGATATAAACATGAAAAGTAGTAATTATAAACAAACATTTTATACTTTGAGATATATGTATACTATATATCTCTCTTTTTATTCACAAATTTCAAATTTTTAAGTATTAATTTGGCTTAGTGGAACAGGCTGCGGTGCTACGTATCGCATGTTTACTTGGCACAAATTGTTTAATTGGAAATGTTAACACATCACATTTTGGTTAAAACTGTTCAACGGGCTTCTGCAAGGTGGTTTAAGCACCTCATAAGAGTGACACCTCGTAAGTCAGATTTCCGGGATTCTGAATACCTGTAAACGGAAAATAAAAAAAACACAAGGAATTGTTCTCAACAAGAAAGAGAAAGTCCTAGTGTGGACCTTTTTTTGTTCTGACTACGATTTTTTAAACAAACTAGTTACTATTTTGTAATATTGGTACTTGACAAGATATTCTATTAAAAACAAAACAGAATCTCTTACACTTGATAACATTATTTAGCATACTCATATTACAATATCAAGTTTTTTAATACTTTATCTTTGTTTTTGTGTCGCGGGGATCAAAAAGTGCATTGAACTTAGTGTTTAGATGTGCAATAAAATGTTATTAGCAACTAGTCGTTAATGTTAATAGTCTTGCTAATGGATTATAATAACCTAGTCACAATATTTAAGAAAAACAGTATTATCGACCATAACTAACTGTAATAAACAATACATTATTCTTAGTCAAACAAAAATATTTAAATTACAATGGACTATTGAGGGATAAAATACATTAGTATCGAAATTTTCTTTATGATACAAAATACCTAATTCAACATCAAATAACACATTTAAATGTAAACATACAAATTAATATCGAAGTGGATCTAAAAACACCTCAGTTTACAGATAGAAATTACTATGACCTGATTATCAACATTAGCATTCTTTTCTAAAACCATTTCAGAAGCAATTAAAACATTAATTTTATTTGCATTGACTATTTTCCCAGGTTGTGAAGCAGTCAGTATTTGGAGTTTAACAAGACACGGCCAAAGAAACCCAGGTCCGGATTATGGCAGCTCTATGAAAGACGCTCTTGTAATAAGAGATTATGTCTCATTAGCCTATAAGAAAGGAAACAGTTCACTTTGCGCTCAAGATATCGAAAATTTACAGAATTGGCATTTCAACAAGGATTTGTTTGATAAACCATATCAACTTACCAAAGAAGGTTTTCTGGAATCTCAAGGTATTGCAAGAAGATTGAGACAGACATTCTCGAAATTACTTGGAAATTTAGAAAGTAATGATTATTTGTTCCGACCTGCGCCTGGAGCTTGGATGGAAGAGAGTGTCAAGGGTTTCGTTCAAGGAATTTCCTCTAAGCCACTGACTATTCAGCCACCTAGTCCTGGTTTAGATATTTTGGCGGTAAGTATTTTACTATTTTTTTACGTAAACAAAAACAAGGCGACCTTTATCAATATGCGAAGACTCAGTTTGTGTCCAACTCCACAACTGGACCATTTTGACTGTTATTATACCACAGATCATATTTTTACTCATTACAGCCTTACGAAAGTTGTCCCAAGTACTTGAAAGAAGTGAAATATAATCCAGAAACGTATGCTCCTTCAGCAAAGTATCAATCTTCTTCAGAATATCTTGCGGTAAGATTATACTTTTATTTATTTTTTTATATTTTCGTTATATTACACGAGCTAATTGCAATTTATTGTAAAATTTCAGGCAAAGGACAGAATGCAAAGACGTTTGGGTATCGATTATTCTCTAACACCAACAAATATAACAGCTTTGTATGACCTGTGTCGGTACACTTCTTCGGGTAACACATTTAGTCCGTGGTGTGCGCTGTTTACGACGGAAGATTTGAAAGTTATGGAGTATGTAGCCGACTTGAGACATTACTACAAAAGTGGTTACGGAACACCCATGACCAAGCTATTCGGCCAGATTGCTTTGACCGACCTACTTAAAAGTTTTCAAGAAGCAAAAAGTGGAAAGGGGAGGAAAATTACGGGCTACATTTCTCATGCTACTATGATGGATATGGTATATACAGCCCTTAAATTATTCAAAGACGACGCACCCTTATCTACTTCGAAGAGGAAGCTTGATAGGAAATGGAGAAGTAGCAAGATGTCCATATTTTCGACGAATTTCATTGCTGTCCTCAACAAGTGAGTTTCTTGTTTGCTGTATTTCCGATTATTTTAAATTTTGTATCTATGCTACGAGCTTTATACCCTTCAAATGAATGGAGTCCAAAACATCTCTAGGATTCTTCCTTGCAAAGAAAAATATTGCTACTATATCATTTGATAACTATTGGTAAAATAAAATTTAGCGACATAATAAATGGGAAAGAAAATATTGTCATTTGGAACATTATTTTAAAGTTAATAATAAACAATACATTTTTACAACGAAAGTACCTAGATTTGTTTAAAATCACAATTTCTTTTTAGTAATTTGTTATTAAAAGTTAGTTTGACTAGGGAAATAAATTTTGTAATATTACCTCGTGTAAAAAACCCAAAAATCGAGTTGCTAAGATGTTTCTGCGAATGCGGGTCAGACCGAAACTTTGTATCAAAAAATTTAAGTGTAATTTATTTCAAGAAAACTACGTTCAGCAACGTTTTAATTAGGTAATGTTTATCATCCTTAATCTACTAGATCAATTTCGCGTATCTTAAAAATAGCGAAATGAGTTTGAAATTATATATCATGTTACTGACGAAGATCAGTGAGGACCGAATGTCCTTAGGGCGGCGCTGATTTCTTACCATTTAGGTCATCCATCTTCTCGTTTCCTTTTATTAATTCGATTTGCCTAGGCTAAACAATTTCGATAAAAATATATAAATATTCTTATATGAGAACGTTTGACATCGCTTCTTGATCCGAAGGTCAATCGATTGAAGGTTGATCGATTTTCCAAGTCGCATATTTTACTGGTCGAATATAATTATTTAATATTTATTAACCAATTTAAACCTTATTTCAGGTGTGATAAAGGACCTGACGATTACAATGTAATATTTTACTTAAATGAAGAACCCTTACAATCAATATGTAAAGAAGGAGTGTGTACTTGGAAGGAGTTCGAAGATAAACTGACACCATTTGTGGACACAAAGACAGATTTCTGTAATATAGATCCATCTCCATAGTTATTTGTTTAGAAAATTTACTTAGACATTCAACAGTTGTTAATTTTATTATTAAGTATCTGAGATTTGTTTTATTAAATAAATAATAACCTTTAGATATTATCTGCGAGTTTTTCATTTATTTATTTACGATTTGGTGGATGAAGCATGGTGGGATTCAAATCAGATTAAATCAAATCAAAGTCAAAATCAAAATCATTTATTCCAACAAACCATAAATAGGTACTTTTGAAACATCAAAATAGAATAGTAGTCTGTCAGTATGTTCGTCAGTGAATCTAGGTGCTCGTTCCAAATTGTAGTTTCGAATGGAGAAGAACGAGCAAGAAACTCCATCGTTACTTTTTAAAAATCATATATTCTTCGTGTAAGTGATTAGTAAGTGTTTTACAGTAGTAGTAAAACTATTAAGTATTTTTAAAACAATATTTGTCGTAATGGTATTTGTTTTTCCTCCTTTCATTAAAATAGTAACTTATTAACAATTTGCTGTGGCATGAAATCTACGGCTAAATAAGCTAAGGCATAAAGATAAGCCAAAAGCTATTTGTAAAAAAACAAACTTAATAATGAGTCCACCAATGAAAATTATTGTAAAACTAATCATTCATTATGTAATAACACGATTTTTCGCTAAATTAAAATAAATAATAATATTAAGCCCGTGAAACATTCTGCACCACATTGTTAAGGCGAAAAATGTCAGTGAAAGTGGTAAATATTTATTTAAATTCGTAATGGGCAAGCATTGGCCGCTATCGCACCTGGAGGTAAGCGATAATGCGTCCTACCATAGAGCACGCCTACCCATAAGTAACCTATTCACTCGGGCCTTGAAGATACCCTACGGGGAACACAGACATATTTAATAAAAAAATATTTGACTTGTGTTCAATTTTCATATTAAACCTTGAATGTTCCGTTTTATAGTTCCTACACGACAGCATGAGCTTTCTAATATTCACAGCATGGTTATTGACTTTTTCATTGAATATGTGGCGTCAATTGGTTATTGAAATTCTGGATGCAAATACAAATATTTTTAATTAAAAGTAATTTTCTAGATCGTAGTATTGCATAGTATGATAGAGTAGTGATCTACATTTTTCTTAAATAAAAATTAAAATCCATCACTAATTACAAAAACATTTTAAGGGCAAACAATTGGGAGAATACAGCTATCGTCTGCTCTAAACGTAAGCGTATATTATCTCAAGGTGTATATAATTTTTCGGGGTTGCAGGTTAAGCGCAAGAAGTCACCACACAAGCCGAGGCCGCCCTCGGCCCAGAGCAGGAGAAGGAGGGAAGGGGGGGGGGTTATAGGGCTTAGACAGTAAGAGTCTGCCACTCTATCTTGCCTAAACCGGTGGGAGAAGTCATTTGATGAATTTCCCTTGACAAAAAAAAGTGTATATAATTTTAAAAAATTGATATCACATAGAACTATTTTTGAAAAACCAAATATGATCGAGTCTGATGGTACCAGAAAATTGTTGTTTTGGAAAAAGGTTTAGAGAATCGTTCACAAAACTGTTGAATTATTTTGACGAAGAAGATTACTTGTTTACCCCAATATTCGGCCCGAGCCGGTAGCCTTGGTCCGGCCGAGTTTCAATCAAAGCTTATGTAAAAGGGTTTGGAAATAAAGATACAAAAATGAAATACTGCAAATGCAAGTTGTATTCGCAGTTTTAATTCTGTTTAAAATAATGTCATTTTGAGGCACTGACGATTTTCTATTTCTGCAAAATTAGTTTTTTTACTATTCAGATACAAGTTGCCGACCTCAAAAGAAGGTTATAGAATGTTGTAGTTTTAGTTTTATGTTATAGTAGAGCAGTAGTTGTTTAAGATAAAAACATTCTCCAAATTTGTATCAAATGAATATAAATGTGTTACTAAAACTTATGTAATCAACTACGTATTTATGCAATACAAATCGGTTTTTGAGAAGTGTTTACAATAAAATAAAATTAAACAAAGTACTTATTTTGGGTTTTACTACCTAATTAACACTAAGTTGCCTGTGTTATGTAAATATGAAGATAGTATCTGAACGGGCGGCGTCAAAGTTCGTCAAGGACCCAGTGATTGACATTTATTTTTTGTGTCACACTTGGATACTCTGATTATTATATATACATTAGACTTTCTATTTCTATGCATTAAAGATAAGTAAATTTAATCACATATAATATAAGCAATAACACTGATCAACACTGGTTTTGCCACACGAACTTTGATAGCTAATTATGTTTTATCAATCTACCCTCATTATTAAATCACAGTTGCCATATGTCAATTAGCCTCCTATTTGTTGTGATACGGTAATACTCATTAACTAGTACTACGGCAGTAAATTAACAGAAACGCTTACAAGTTAATCGTTATAAAAATATTTATCGTTGAATTTGAACACTTTTTTTGGGATTTATTAACCCTGTGAGCATGTCAAGGAAGTGTATTAATGATCCTAACTGTTTTTGTTATGTCTGCGGAGAACTTACATTCAAAAAACTACGACGAAATTTTACAAATCTTGTGATGGAGTGTTATCACCAATGTTTTGGTTTTTCTGTCGCCCATCAAGACAAATCCTGGGCCCCTCATGACTGTTGCATAACGTGTGTGAAAAATTTAACTGACTGGAAAAAAGGTGCACGACCTATGCCGTTTGCTGTACCCATGATATGGACTGAACAGCGAGATCACGTTTCAGATTGCTATTTTTGTCTCACTGACGTAAAAGGTATAAATTACAAGAAAAAAAACACAGTTATTTACCCTAATTTATCTTCGGCTATAAGACCAGTCTCTCATTGTAAAAAATTGCCAGAACTAATACCAGTTGCAACTACGTCTGTTGAGAACGACAATTCACAACCGTCTACTTCAAGTGTAAGTGATGCAAAGATAAAAGAGGGTATTTTTGTTGGCCCTTAAATTAGGGAGTTAATAAAAGATTCAAGATTTGAAGAAAACTTAAGCGATTTAGAAAAATCAACATGAAAGTCTTTTAAAAATGTTGTTGCAATTTTTTTGGGTAACCACAAGAGTGACAGCTACAGAGAGTTGGTTAGCGAGATGTAATTGTCATATCAAGCATTAGGTTGCAACATGTCACTTAAGATCCATTTTTTAGACTCGCACCTGGTTTTTTTTCCTGACAATTTAGGGGCTGTCAGTGACGAGCACGGCGAGAGGTTCCATCAGGATATTTCTGATATGGAAAAGCGGTACCAGGGCAAATGGAGCCCAAATATGTTAGCAGATTACTGCTGGACAATTAAAAGGGACCAACCAGAAGCTAAATATTCAAGAAAATCTTAGATTTTCTAAGTCATTTATAAAAAAATAAACTTTTGATTAACGAGATCCGTATTTTTTCCTAATATTTTAAATTACTCAATAGAATAAAATCTTTGTCTAGCAAATTTTTTTTAACTGTTTATTTTTTATTAAAATCACCAATTAAAGTAAAAAATATCAAAGAAGTCCATGTGGCACGACAAAGTTGAAATTTTGTTGACCAGTGTAATATGATACATGAAAGTATTGATAAATACTATGTATCAATATCATCGATTTTAGTATTTACTTATACTACATATACAATATACTATTACAAAAGGATATAATACTTATATCGATAGATCGTGCCTATGGTAAATCGTTTGATTAGAACCTAAACTCAACTGTACCTATAGTTTTATAAATGGTATATCGTCTCCTTTAACAACCAGTGACACTCCATCCCTAGACTGAGGACTCTTTTAGGAGACGAGGTTGTCATTCTATTCGGCACGGAAATCGTGGCTTAAAAGGATAACGTTTACCAGGAAGTGCTGTTGCCCAGTTTCTGTAGGATATGTAGTTGCTTAGTCGGCTTTTACTAATAGGAAGTGTAGTTGGAGGACAAAGGTATTTTACACAGAGAAGGGATAACCTTCTCTATAAACGAATTCCTGACTCCTAGTTAAGATCAACGGTCGAGTACACCATAGATATAAAAAACTTAAAAAAAATAACTTATTAAAAACATTATTTAACAGTCTAATGTCGATTTTATAGTTTGTAACAATCTACATATAGGAAGGTATACAATGAAACTGCAGTTTCTATTTTAAGAGGACTGAAGAACTTATATATCAGTGTAATTATTATATATTTTTATGTTTAGGAATTAGATAAATTCCTAAACATAAAAATATAATATAGTTTTGTAGAAATTAACATCCGGTTTCTGAAAGGCTTGTCAACGCTAAAACTAACTAATCTCCAGTTAAATCTCTTGTCAAGTCATCTGGTGGTTGATAATTCAGTCAACCAATCAGATGACTTAACAAGAGATTAAATTGATTTTAACATTGATCGGCCTTTCGGAAACCAGGTGTGAGTCTACTAAAATAAGTCAAATTTAGTCAATAATTTAGTTATGTCTGACTAAATATTGAAGAAGAAAGTAAGACTTGAATAGCAACAAGAAACAATAAGAATATTTTAGCAATATACTAACTGTGTTTTTAAATAACTACTATTTTGAAAAATATCTAATAAAACTCGAATATATCCCTGAATTAGAACACTAGCACATTGGGATAAAGAGCACCACAATATAGTAAGATATTTGGAAGGACATTGTTAGCAGTTGTGCTGATCAAGCTAGAATAAGGAAAGAACGGGAGGAATAGGAAAAATTGACATTTGCGACTCGCCATCTATACCTACATTATATACGATAGTTATATTACTTAGTATAGTACAAGCAGAAAGTATTTATCTCCATATAAATCGTCGGTTGACGCAAAAATGCTATCGGTTAAAAGCCACCCAAAGTATTATTTGGTGATCTTATTGTTACACTAGCGATTTTACAAAACGGTTTAAATTATTTTGTTCATTTTATCTTGCTTAATTAAAGTCAATTGCCATTCAATATTAATATGAGAACATAATTAACTAACTATACGTAAATCTGTTAATCAATTTTAACTATGTAAAGTACATGACAAAATAAATTCAAAAGAAGATACGATCAAATTAACATCCAAAAATACGTTAACGAAGAAAACAAAACAAAAATTCTAAAAATACGATTGTATGTATTTCAAATGCAGCGAATCTGGTGAAAACGTTTACGGCCACAGAATCGCATTTTATTGTACCGAAATACCGTTATTAGAAATATGTGACTGAGGTGTCTGCTCATGACAGCAACTCGAGGACATTGTTCGACCCGGTTTTGAACGCAACCACTTTTTTGTGGAATAGACAAATCTAAATAAAAAATAACAGTTTATAAACTGCCTGTTGTTTTTCTTATACCATATTTTGTATTTAAGGCACAGTAGCATTAATAATCAAATTAGCTTACGTCCGTGCAAACAAGTTGGTTATTTTTAATTTTATGATTTTGTTATTGACTATAAATACAACAGCCTACGTAACTACTTTTCGGTTCAGTTATGGCACAATATTTATGTCTCCATTTGATTAACAAATTACAAAATAAAAAATCTAAATACTTTAGATATCAAAGTCAAATTCTAACAAAACCAAAACAGCTACTTCTGAAACGGCCAAGTAGAATAACTGTCAATCTGTTCGTCAGTGAAGCTAGGTGCCCGTTCCAAAGTATATATTCGAATGGAGAAGAAAATGAAAATCGTTACTCTTTAAAAAAATATACGTTTTACAAGTTCACCAACACTTTATTCAATACGCGGTATATTATTATATCCCAATTAGTATTATAACCTAACCTTATATTATATATAAGAATACTTTCACTAAGTTATATTATTCTCAATATCTAATATTTTTATAATCAATACTAATATTATATGTATATCTATACTACTATTATAAATGTGAAAATAACTCGGTCTGTCTATTTGTCTTTTCTTCACCCCTAAACTACTGAACCGATGTCTGTGAAATTTGGTAAAGACATTTTATTAATTTATTTGAGGTTAACCAACAACTATTTACACCTTAACATTATCTTACAAGTAATATGTGATCCTACACTTGTTTAACAATTAATTATATGTTAACACCGCTAGTAAGACAAAAGTAAATTCAAAAATGTTTAAAAATATTTTTCTCAACTCCATTACACTCTCAACTTGATTAAGATTTAAATTAATTTTACTAGATGGAAGACAGCCATTATTAGGTACGTATTATTAACGTGTAGCATATCACTATGCTAGCTGTCATTGACAACAGCCCTTTGCGTCTATGTAATATTTTAAAAATAGAACAGTAATGTTGCTTTTAAAAACACCAATTTAATAATTATGTTGTGTTGATGTAAGTACTTAGAATACTGTACTTAATCATATATAAATAAATAAAATTCGTCATGTTTTTAACTGCGGTGATAATGATTTGCTTGGTAGCATTTATTTATGTTAAGGGAGTCAGTGTTGAATGTAGTGTGTGCCGGCGTGCAATATTTTTTGTTTATATTTTACGTAATGAAGTTTTTAATTATGACCGCTATGTGCTTCTACGTAAAAACTGTACTGACTCTAGATTGCTATTGGAATAGTGGGTGCAAATACAAATATTTTTCGAGTAAAACTCCGTATGAAATTGTTAGAGGCGATATAAGGGATTCGATCGTAAAACAGGAAGGTAAGTTGGGTTTCATTCGAAGATTGTTCTGACATATTTTGCCACTTTTATTTCTGCGGAATATTTCTGAAAGTGGAGCGTCTTATATAAATTTGTTTGTAAGTTTCTCCTCTAAAAGGTTTCTTGTTATTTTTAGATGCTTCTGAATGTTTGATCTTTAAACTAATATGAACTACTATAATAGAGTCATATTTTTCTGTTATTTAGTTGATTTTTATAAATTATTTTACGTGAGATTATCATTTCATATTTGCTATTAATTGTAAGGATCAGGGGCGGCCGGTAACTATTTACGTCTTTTTTTAAATTGTACTTTTTGAATATTTTATTAGTTGTATTACCTAATCCCTTTATGCATGTACTTTTCCATCCATTTTCTTCAGACAATGGACGTGATAATATGATAATGATGTAAGATTAATAAAAATGAATTATTTGACAGGATGCGAAACCATCAGTGTATGGTCAATATTTCGCCATGGAAAGAGAAACCCAAGTTCGAAATATGCGACTGATATACAATATATTTTAAAATACTACAAAGACTTCATTGTGTCAAGTTTTGAAATTGGAAATAGTTCGCTTTGTGCTCAAGATGTGGAGAATATAAAAAATTGGAAGATTGACACTAAAATGCTTGATGAACCAAATGAAATATCTAGCGAAGGATATCGGGAACTATTCGATATTGGAAGCAGGATAAAAGAAACGTTCCCAGAACTTCTGAGTAAACTTCAAGAAAACGAGTATAAATTCCAACCCGCGTTTGGAAGTCGAATCGAAGAGAGCGCCAAGGCTTTTGCCGAGGGTCTGGACGACCGTAACTTGCTTATCACCAAAATATATGGTGATTATACTTACGTCGCAGTAAGTTAAAGTTAGTGTTTAAAAACAATCAGTGTTGTATAATGAAGGCGTAATCTTGTGTCTAATCAAATATTTCTCTTTTAGCCTTATTCGATTTGTGGGAAATATCAGATCGATATACGGAATAATCCAAACGTTTATCATGAAGCCGAAGTCTATGAAAATACTGAGGAGTACTCAAACGTGAGTATTTAAAATGTATTTTATATTTGCTCAGTAAATATTAAGGTTATATTCCTATTTATTCATACTGGACTATTAGTAGACAGTCCTTTTAAAGTGCAACTGGAAATAAAAATGTCTTTCTAGAAGTCAGTGATGATTATGTACAGATTTTGATACTTTTTATACATTTTCAGATGAGAGAAAGGGTCGCCAAGAACTTAGGGCTGAATTTTGTTCCTTCAAGCGACAATATAACAGCAATATATGACTTGTGCCGGTACTCTTGGAACGGGATTCTCCATCAACCAAGCCCGTGGTGTGCTGTCTTCACAGCCGAAGACCTAAAAATTTTGGAGTACGTTGGAGACCTTAGACATTATTACAGAAACGGCTATGGAGCGTCACAATTCAGTAATACACTGGGACAACTGCCACTCTCAGATTTACTAAGAAATTTTGAACAATCAAAACGTGGAAATGGAAAGAAGATTGTTTCATATTTTACTCATGCCACTATGATGGATATGATAGTAGTCGTTCTAAATCTTTATAGAGACCCAACTCCGTTATTGGGTTCTTATAGAGATTTAAATAGACAATACAGATCAACGTTTCTGTCAACATTCAGTAGCAACCTAATTGCAGTGTTAAACAGGTACTTATTTGTATAATTGTATTATTTTCTCATTTATAAATTTTAATGAATATGTGAGTGAATAGGTACTTACATTTAATAGATAGATTCTAATGCGATAGTGTAATGTTAACTTAATTAAAATGGAATTTAATTTTTAATCCCTAATTTGAAGCTTAGAATTACAGACGACCTATTTGAAATGCTTAAAATTTAAAAAGACTTGTTTCTATTTATAAATATATATTAAAAACATTTTGTGCACTGTACAAAAGCGATTATTAAATTAAGTGACGTTCTATGTACCTCGTACCTAAGAACATATTTTGAAGTTTGACCCTCAATCGTGTTATTTCTTTACCATTTAACTTTGCTTACGTATTTGTTCAAAACAATTTACTGCCAATGTACCATATAGGTCACCTGTGTCAATGGCAAGGTCTTCCTTGCAACTGACAAGAGTAATTCACGTAATTATATGCTTCAATAGCCTCTATGATGACATGTTGTACGAGTATAATCATTTGTTTTTTAATAAATGCTAATGGCATTAGGTATATACTCTACGTTTCTTAGAATAAATAAGAAAGGTAGTCTCGAAATTTGGGCACATAGATATTTTTAAATACCAAACACTTTTGCTAGCTAACACTTTTTCTAAAAAGGAAGAAAAATTGAAATATGCAATATAGTTTTACTTAACTATTAATTTTTAATTTACTTTTCAGATGCAGGAAAGCACACACCTATGACTATAGCATTTCATTTTATTGGAACGAAAAACCGCTAAAGGAACTATGCAACGAAGGGACTTGTTCATGGCAGGAATTTGAAAATATTTTCAAACCATTCTTGAACGCCACGGACGACATCTGTGAATTTAAATGGACAAAATTAGATTAATATTACTAACATTATTTATTATAATATACTTACTTTTCATAAAATAAAATAAATTAATTTACTAGTTGTTAAGGGCGTGTAGTGTAGAACTTGAAAAAATAATATATTTTGTATTTTATTTATTTGATATTTTGACTTTTTCTTATTACATAATAAAATATGTCCCAACGTTGGCCTAGGGTAGGATGTACATGAAAAACTCTTTGATTCGATGGAGACTTGTGCAGTGTTGTTGTCTATCCAGGTGTGTCATATAAAGTATCTTTACATCGATGTCAAGAAGTGCTTGTACAAGAATGCTTTCATTTCAGTCCAAGTACAGGAACAGTGCACGAGGGATATTCTTCTGCAGTAAGGTCTCCGCTCTTCTTGGTCATTTCTCCGAGTGGAAAGAACTTGGTATCAGCATCAATGACAAGTACATACCTTACCTTCCGTTTGCCGACGACATCGTTGGAAGCTCGATTCTTGAAATTTCGACGAATATGTATACCTACCTGGGACAAGTGTTAAAGATGGGCTGGTCTGATTTCGAGAAGGAGCTCAATAATCAAATCCAATTGAGATGGACGGATTTTAGGAAACTACGCAACCTTTTCTTGTCCACAAATCTCAGTGCCTCAACATAAAATTCGGGGTATATTACCAGCAATGACCTCCGGAAGGGAAACGTGGTCTATATTAAATATGTGGGCCTTATTAGAAAACTCACCGCCCCTAGCGCGTCATGGAAAAGGTTATGGTCGGCGTTCGGAATGAAAATAAATATAACCTAGAGAGTTATCAACATGAAATGGAGATGGGAGTTGAACAGTCGGCCGGTGGGGCAGAAAGGTCAAGCGCAGCAGACATACGAAATAGGACCTACCTACAAGGTGGACAAAAGACATGGCGTGAGTCACCGGATACATTCAACCGGCAATTCTGGAAGTCGTTGGACGCCTATGTTCATAAGTAAATGTCTACTGGCTATTATCATGATGATGAAGATGTTCCTTTATTTAAAATTTCTTGGCATACTTTGGCATTCTGATAAATACACCTAGAAACGCGGTACTAGGTTATATAAATAAGTCGGTACTAATTATAGTAAATACCGTTTAATTAAAGAATAATTATAGTAGTTGATAATTATACTAAATACCATTCCTAATTAATGTACCAAACAGTTCCGCGTTAATATTGTCTTTTGTTTCAAATTCGACTCACGTTTATTGATTAAGTTTAATTCATACAAATAGGTACACAATAATATCTACATAATTTATAAACTAATTTAAAATCTTAGGTACTTGTACCTATAGTAGAACAAAACGTTTATCAGCTTACAATGAAGAACTCCATTTGAGTTTGTTACAAATAAGAACCCCCAAATGAATGCGAGTGGAAACCTTAAAACAATTTGCGAATTAATTTGTGGGGATTAGGTCGGACCCCTTTGTATCAGAGCTGTTACAAAACGGCTACTTGTGTAAAATTCGTAAAAAGTAAAGTGTGATATCTTTTTAGTAACTAATTCATACAATTGGTTAGCTTAAGTAGTTCTGTGCTAGTTGCCACTTTATTTATTTTGGAAAAGTAGCTCGTCGACACGTTTGAAAATATTAAATGAATGCGACTTCAGACTGCAGATAATTCGCAAAAGAATTTAATTTCAAATCCATCTTCATATTACAAGCCGCGCTCTTGGTAGTATAACTGTAGTAGTCTAGTATTTATAACTGTTGGTCTGTCTATTCGAAGTTTACCGTAGATAATATTAATTTTATTGATGAAAAAGATGCATTCAAAGAATTGCACGTTCTATTACCGAGCATTTGCTTATTCACAAAATCGTAATAACTTAAGTTTGTTTAAGCACTTAGCGCGAGTTCGCCTAACGAATCCCGAGAGCGTGGGGTTGAATATCGTCTCAGCGGATTGGGATGTCGGCAAGAGCCTCATTCATACTCGTATACACGTCCTGAAACACGAATCCTAACCCAAAACGTGCATTATTTATACACAAATAAAGCACAATTTCGCACAATAAGAGTACACCGTTCTATATTATGAAAAATTAATTTGCATAACATTTTTAAAAGTTTAGGAAGACTATGAATTTATTTACAAATGGCATGTCTTTTTTAACTTTACGTTATGATATATTTTTCAGTCGTGATTGCGTTTGCTTCATTTAAGAGCCCATTATTTGATCAAAGAGTGAGATTGTGTGATGGAAATACTTCCTTTCATTAAAATTTTACTTATCTATACGAGTTTAAATGTCTTAAGAACTTTAACCATAAAATTCAGTTTATAACTAAATTCTGACCCTGAGAGATGAGATCGTAACTTTTCTATTAAATTTAAATGTCTGATTTTAGTAGTATAGTTAGTTTCTAGACATCAATTTCATATCCAATCATTATTATGATAGTTTTGTTTTTTTAATAGGATGTGTTGTGTATGGAAACTTGTGTCACCTGATACTCGATAGATCACCTATACAAAAAGTTATAAATGATTAATTAACCAACAACTTCATTCATCTTATCGCAACGCCTCTTCCAAGTAATTTTATCGCGAATAATCTCAGTAATACATTCAACATTGTCACATTTCTAACTGCTCTAGTGCCTACATGATATCGGAATATGCATGAATGAATAATAATATTATATTAAACTGTAGGTAGTACGTTGGTGTTCATAATCTGGTGAGATACAAACTAATATAATAAATGCGAAAGTAACTCTGTCTGTCTTTTCTTCACGCCTAAACTACTGAAACTATTTGTATGAAATTTGGTACAGACATAGTTTGGAACTCGAGGAAGGATATAGGATAATTTTTAAACCAAAAGTCTGCAGGTAGTCACTATTCCACGCGAACAAAGTCAAAGCAAGCGTGTTTACAATTTTTCAGGGATCTACATAAGTATGTACATAATATTATATATGTATATCATACAGCAGGAAAATCTTCGTAAAACCGGATGCTTTTATTTTCGCCAGAGTCAAGAGGTTAAACGTTCTTATTATGTCACTCTTGTCGTGTGAAATCCCACACAACGCTGAAGATGACATGTGCATGAAGTAAATTGTAGTATTCTGTTGTCTTGACATTTAGTTGTACCATGAAGATATGTTATTATACAAGACTTGAGTGTTTATTATGATCATAATGCTTAAACTGTTTGTAGGCGTAATTTATGATTAAAAGAAAATAATAAAAAGTATTAAAACTAAAACCCAACTACGACAAAAACCGACGCTGAAAAAGTATAAAACAAGATTAATTTAAGAAAGAACATATTTATTTAAAAATGTTTTGTTTGTTATGTATTTTTATTACGTTTTCCAACTAAATAATTTAAGATTTTATTCGGGAATATGGCATTGAAAAATATTTTATGATACCAATACCAAACAACAAAATTCGTTCTGGCTTTTCTATATTTTTTAAATATTTGAGCAGAAAATTCGTCACTATACTTTGAGTAGGAATATCTAATCTTTTTTTCTTTTTTTGATTTGCTAATGGAACTATTTCAATATTATACCTTGTTAATGCAACTAGGCTTGATCACCGGATGCAGTGTCATGAGTGGGCGGTTCGCATGTCGCACGGGAGAACTCTGCGTTAAACCCAGACATTGTAGTCTTGTGAGTGTGAGTGAATTTTACGTACAATCATAACCCTCCTTTGCTTTGCCGTACGACGAGCAATGGTTTTAAGCCTTTGACTGCCTACAAAAAGCCATTAAAGGCAAATCCTCCTCTACCGTAGTTCACCGGTGACCTACGTGGCGGTTAACGTGTTAAGGAAAAAAACTGTACCTATTTAATTTGGTGACGTAATAAATAAAACTTATTAACTCAATCTGTTTTTAAGTATTTCATTGATCTAGTAAATATTTTTTTTTATAAATAATTTTTTTCTTTTAAAAAAAACGTTGCCCCACATTAGGATTTTTTCCTGTGTCGTGGGTGCGGTTACAAACATACAATTTCATATACACATGACACCCAGACTCAGACCCGGATATAAAACAATTTGTGGATCACGCAAAGAGCTGTTCCGTGCGGGAATCGAACCCGCGACACGTTGCACGGCAGCCAGTTGCCCAGCCACCGTGCAGTCAAAATATGTTTACTTATTACATTAGAATAATTACACCTAGAACGATAGTTCTCCACGGTCTTGTGATTTCTATTTTAACGTTTGGTGTAATATTTTGGGGTTACTGTAGTGAACGAGAATATATTTTTAAAGCTCAAAAGCCCTGTTTCAGAGCTATATTTGGCCTCAAAGTTACTGACAGTTGTGTCCCTATATTTACGTCGCAGAAATTACTAACTTTCCCATGCCTTTATATCCTCGAATTAGCCATATTTGTTAAAACTAACCGTAATTTATTTGCAACATTAACAGACACTAGAAAACGAAGTACATCATTAAGATCACAATATCAGAACGTACTGTGAACAGGCACATTTAAAACTAGCTTACTAAAAAAAAGTGTGATATGTATGGCTCCTGTTATCTTTAATAAAATTCCTGATCACATGAAAACCTTGCCATTGATGAAATTTAAAAAATGTTTTACATTGTTACTTGTAGACAAATGCTATTATTCTGTTCAGGATTTCTTAAATGATACATTATAATCACCTTTTTGCCTTATTTAACTCAGTTGTATAATAATTATTGTATTTGCATGCCAACAAGGTAGAATGTACACGGTTCTTTATTATGTTATTTTCGATCTTATTTGTATGTACCTGCATTCTTAGCAAATAAAGTCTTATTCTATTCTATTCTCTTCAAAATGGTCCGTCAAAAAATAATGATACACTGTCAAATAAAAATTTGTGCATTTTATTTATGGCCCTACTAAAACGTGTTTCGCCTTATATAAACCACAAAATGCAAGACATTTTTCCCCATAACGGCATCACGTCACAAAATATTTAATATTTTTCTCATTTTAATTAATATTTTGCGTAAAAATATAA